ATAAAAAGTTCATATGTATTAGCCAAATTCATAACGATTGATGGAGAAGTCGATCATTATCCTGGACAAGTCCAAGCATGAAATTGACTTGCCAAATGGACCTACTGAGCATTATTTGGCTTTTATTAGGTAGTACCGACCAGCAGACATAGCAAATATTCGGTATCATTTTAGTATTGATGATACCAAAGAAACAGAAACATGCAATATTGAATTATGAAAACCAGATTTTTTTCCTGAAAGTAGGGATTGTATTATTCCAGTACACAACGCTAAATATAAAATTTCTTCTAACCGCAACGCAACTGAATATGGTAATTTACAGAATTTTTCTTTACAATAATTGTTTAACAAATTTTATGGAATTGGTTATTTAATAATAAATAATACGAATAAATTGATTTACAATAATCTTTAACTTCAGTGTTTTCTTATTTTACTTATATGTCATTATTATTTATTGATATTAATTACAGCTGATTGCAAAATTGTATGACCACCCTATGATTTTCAATTTGAAAATTTGATATTTTGAATTTTTCAAGAATTAGTAAAAAAGCAAGTTTAAATACCTATTTTAATAACTTTAACTCCTTAAAATTAATAAAGATTTTAAAGTAATTTATTTATATTGAATCATATGATATATTTCTATTTTTACTGGTTTTTGAAAAATTGAAAATATCAAATTTTCAAATTAAAAAGTTATAGGGTGGTCTTACAATTTTGCAATCAGCTTTAATTAAAAAATCGGTTAAAAATTGTCAAAAAAGTTTTAAGTCGATCGTTGTTATTAATAAAAATCGATAAAAAAGAAGTATTGGTCGATTTATGGATTTTTTTATGTTACAGCTCAACCAAAAATTGACCAAAAATCAACCAGTTAATTTATGCTGAAATTTTTCCAAATTTATAATTAGCCAAATGGGTGACGAATCACGTGATGATGATGACGAACTTTTGACGAAAGGTATTAATGCCGAAAAAAATGATTTTGACCAGTGAGGAGTAGGCCCATTAGCAGTAGCAACCTGATTAGACCTATTAATAAATAAAGATAATAGAATCTTAAGTAGAGCACCAGGGAGCTTTAGGTGTTCCAGTGCAAATTTAAGCATATTAAGATCCACAGAATCGAAGGCTTTTGATATGTCTTGGGATAAGATCCATAAGGGATTATTATTAACCACAGAATCATGGATAATAGATTCTAACATGATATAGGATCGTGACAGAAACCAGGCAGACCGGCAAAATTGCCACCTTGCAACACATGATGTTTGGCTAAGACTGGAGCAAGGCAATTGTACAGCAGTTTGATCATTGTTTTACGAATAACTTCCAATAAGGTGATAGGTCTGGTGTTTTTAAGTTGGCATTTCCATTTATAGGGCTTGGGAATAGGAAAGACCATAGCTTGCCGCCATAAGTCTGGAATATCAGCAGTACCAAAACAGGAATTAATCAAATTTAATAATAAAGAGAAAGCATGTGGTCCTAAATATTTCAGCATCTCATACGAGATCATAGATGGACCGGGAGCTTTGTCATTAGGCATGGAGGCAATAGTAGCTTGCCATTCATCCATAGAAAGTGGATCCAATAAAGAATCATAGATTGAAGCATCAACTGAAGCTATGGCATTAGCCCAGCATTCAGATAAAGCTGAAGGTTCAATGGTGAAAGGTAAATTAATAGGAACATAATTTTGAAAATGATTAATAGTTTCAGACATAATGTCTTTCACAATCCAAAACTATATGTCTCCTAGTTCGAGATAGGGCCGAGTCGATAAGGAAGAAATATCAGACTCAAAGTTATCATTACGCCTATCAATATGGGCAGTAATAGACACTTCTTGGAATTCTCTTTCTTTCAAAACATGCAAGTCAAAGAGAGAAGAGTATAGAGAAGTAAAGGAATCAGAAGTGCAAAAAGCCAGTAAATCCGGCAAAGGAGGAGCATCTATAAAAATATTTCTATAGCAGATGAAGATGGCAATGAGACGCGGGAGATAATGAGACCACTTAGATTCATAATCAAAAGAAAAATCTTCAGGCCGTCTGGTAAAAAACTGTATTGTAGCAGTAACTTTAGCAACGAAATGGTAATCTTGGGTAAGCAAACCCAAATCTTTCAGAACCTTGAGAGTATATTGATTGGAGACCTGACTATTGGGGAGGGTCTTCATCACAGCTTTGATGATCTGGGAATGGAGAAATTCGCATTTGCGGTTTATATGCCAAGAAGTGAAAGTAGACAACGTAACATCACCATTGAGAGGTAGAAACAGAATCCAGCTTAAAAACATGACGATTACGTTTAAGCTGTTTAACACGAGCTTGTTTGGTAAAAGACAAGATCAATGATGCATCAAAATAGGAGATAACTGGATTATGGTTAGAGGTACAAATATCATGAGCATCAAAGATCGAAGCAGTAAGTGTATAGCTCTTGAGCATAGGACAAGACCAAATATAATCTATACGGGTAATTAAGTCTTTTTGGTGGTAAGTTTCTAGATAATCAGAAAAATTGTGAGGAGTATACTCCTTGAAAGCAGATAGTACATTAATTTGTACATATATTTGGAGGCGGTCTGTGATTGATTAATAAAAATGGGATAATATTTATCCAAATGCATATTAAAATCTCCACAAACAGCGTGATAAAATTGGTACTATGGGCATTGTCCAAGAGTTTTATAAGATGTGTGATAGTTTGAGATCTAAGAGCAGGATTATTAGTTGGAGGTATGTAAACCACAAAGATTCGCAGCTTAACAGAGCCTTTAAAGTCTTTAAAGTACAAGTCTACTGAAAGAATATGGGATGAGTGTGATTGATAAGTTTGAATATGAGAGGTCAAAGAGCTGTGAACAAATAAAGAGACACCTCCCAAAGCTCACGCATGATGGGAAGTATCTAAGTCAGAGCTGATAACTGTATAATCAGTGATGCGCCTGGCCAAAAATTTCATACGTTTGGAAGGAAAAAAAAACTCTTTTCCGAATACATATTTTTACGAAAAATTTTTGCAAAAATTTTTTTAAAAAATTCGTTCTTTTATTATAAAATTTTTATTAAAATGCCTGGAAAGACCGAAATTTCACCTATTATCACTTCCAGATAGCCGACACTATGTCTGAAATATTTTTTGACTGTGCTAAAATGGCTTTAGCAAACTTCATTGAAAATGGATTTCTACAGACAATGTTTTCTAAGTCTGGTAATGGTACTTTAGATAAAGCTACCCTTCTGATGACTACTTTCGGCGATGGTGCCAACCTGAAATACTTTGCCGAACAGTCCAAGGCAACAAATATACAACCTATAACTCTTTCGTTAATAATATCTATAGCCTCTTATGCTGTGGCTGCAGGGTGGAATGCCTATAAAATGGCGCTTTACAATAACAAAGAAGAAGCATTAGGTCTATCCAATTTGGATGATTTGGATGATCAAGCCAGAGATTGTGACACAGATGATATAATAGAAAATACGCCAATAATGCCTACACCAAATCCAGTTCCAATATCACAGCATGAATTACCTGATGTGGTAATGACTCCTGTTGATCAACTTGTTACAACCAAAATTCTACGGAAAGAAGAGATAAACAAATCCACATGTGTCACAGATGATAAACAAGTTAATAACCAATCAACATTGAAAGGTAAAAATTACCGGAAGAAGAAATCACCAGCTAACAAATATCCACACCCACCGTGATTGAAGTACTGACAGGATATGAAGTATCAAGTCCAGAAGAAAAGGAACGTATCCGCGATATAAAAGTATACGACATTCCATATACCTGGTCTACTGAAAAGATAGCAGCAGAACTTAAACTTTGGGACAACTCTATTATGCTCTTGATAAAAAGACAGCGACCCTTAGGGTCAAAATAGCATTGCGTTGTCCTCATTTTCCTTGCCACAGTTCAATAATAATTGGGCTATGAATTTAGGAGGTATTACACCAGTGCGATGGTTCCCCACAAATTGGAGTCTCTGTGAAAGAAAATAAAGAGAGAAATTCCAGGCTGTAGTTTATGACATTCCGGAAGAAGTTACTACATGCACCTTGTGGAATGATTGAAAACCTACTACTTACTTATGCGAACTTGGGGCCAAGTCGTTTAAGATTATACAAACAGGTAAAGGTAAGAGGAAGCTTGTTGGATATTTTGAGAAATGGGAGGCTGTACACAAGGTCTTAGATTACCATCAAGTTTTAAGCTTGGAAGGGATCAAGTTGTCATGGTGTCAACACTCTACGCCTAACCTAAAGAAAGTGCCCTCAACCAAAGACCATTCTGGAGGAAGAAGGATGATAAATCCTCATCCAAAGCTCCTAATACAATTAATAAGTTGAAGAAACCCCTGGGCCAGAAAATGAAAGCATCTGAGAAATCGGACAATTTGAACAAGAAGGCGAAGGGTGGTAGTAGTATTAATAGAATTTAATTATTTCTACTAATTTGTACTTGATATTAGCATAACCAAATCAATTTATGTTTAGTACCACAATTTCTTGGAAAGGGAACTTGTTCTCTCCACTTTTGTTTTTTTTTTACCTAGTGTGTTCTCCTGTCTATTAGTGGACGTGCTTGTAGATAGGTCTTTTTTTTCAAGAAGTTAGGGTTGGCCGCCAGCTTCTCTGGTTTTCGATGATAGGTTTTTTAGTACAAGTTCTGCCAACATATGAGTGTCTATGACACCACAAAAAGAAATGTTGTTCAAATTGAAAAAATTTGATATTTCAGTTATTTTAGTTTGGCCATGATATGAGGCCATTGACGTTAAAAGTAGCAATATTAAAGGAAAGGGAAGAAGTAGGGGCAGATAATTGAGGAGTAATAAAAGATTGTTCTAAAACACTATTGTCTAATTCTAAATCTACAGGATTGGGCAGATTATGCACAAAGGAATCATAATTAATATTGTTGTTAATCATTAAGTCACAATGTAGAAATTACGGGGTGTAGAGAATATAGAATTATTTGGAAGAAGCGTCAAAGACTCCTTCCATGGTAGATCTATCACAAGTAATAGAATCAATAAAGCGACCAATGTAAGTGGTGAGTGTATCGAGCTTTGAATTAATATTAGCATAAACAGAGTGGAGTTCTTGAGCTTCATGATCATGTGCTTCGATACAGGGAGAGGAAACATTTGTTGAAAGCAAATTGTTTGGGATCAAACCAGAAGGCACCTGAGAATCATCAAGCAAATGTTGAGATGGAATAGAAATTGAAGGTATAGACTGGATAGAAGGACTGTTTTGAGGTATAGGAGGCGGCTGTGAAGAGTTAGAATCAGGATGATCAAGTACCATCATGGTTTATATATTTGACAACAAATTTGCAAAATTTGAAGAAATTCTAATCACTAGTTTTTTATTCTTTACACTTTTTGTAATTCTGATTAAATTCTGATTATTTTTTTCGCAAACTGTATTTAACTAAAATGTGCTAGTATATCATAAATTAAAAAAGATAAATATAAAATTTATAAAAAAAATGTAATTTATTTAATAAAAATTAACAAAAAATTACTATTAAACATCATTCAATAAGTATAAAGTGTATTTGAAAAAGTTTATAATAAGTTTCAGTTCAAAAATTTATTGTATAAAATTTTCATAATAAATAAATGCTTATATACTTTATTTGTAAAAAAAATGATAAAATGTATACTGCTCAAAAAAAAGTAAAGAACCAGCTTTTATATAAAGTTTTTTTTGTAATAAGTAAAATTGATTGTTGAATTAATAAAAAATTGATTGCTATATTTTATGGTTTATTAAATAGGTGCTTTCTATTTGTACACAAAGTGTTCAAACATGGGTTTCCAAAAAAGTAAATTTCCTATACTGATCATTTAATGTTGGGCAAAATTAAATTTAATAAAATTAGGGAAAAAAAAGAATTTGTTAAATAATCAAAATTGGCAACTTTGACACTTTAAGTAAACTTGCAGAACAGACAAAAATATGCATATTGCATGTTCCTTTTAAAATTATATTTATTAAAAAATTTTTTTTACATAACTTTTTAATAAAGTTACGTAATACATGTATGAACACCTTGTGTAAATTAAGAAATTTTCTATTAAATAAATCAGATTTTAGTGAAAGTATTTAGGTATAATATAACATTAAAAAATTTGTTTATTATGTTTTATTTTAAATTAAGTTATTTATCAAAGTTTGTAACATATTACTGCAAAGTATTATCAAAATAAAAAAACAGTCTGTAAGTTGCACACATTTAACAAAGATGATTGGTATTTATTAGTTATTTACAAAATATTAATTAAAAAACAAATTATTGATCTTTGAATTCTCATTACAATAAAAAAAAGTTGGTTATCTCATTGATTTTGATGATACTCTGATAAATAATTTTGTTTAAAAAAAATGAAGCATGTTATATTATACCTAAATACTTTTTATTAAAAATTCGATTTATTTAATAACCATAAAATATAGCAATCAATTTTTTTCAGAAGTTCATGAAATTTTTAGAGTAAGTGCAATTCAATTCGATGATTAATTTTACTTATTACATAAAAGACATGCTAATTATTTAAAAAAAAAACTTGAATATTTTCATAACAATTATCGCTGGTCCTTAGTTATTTCCAGGTAGTATAGTATAAAATTAAGATGAAATCTGTGATTAAAATCAAATGTAAATTCATTTTTTATATAGTTTATTATTTAACTTCTCTCTGTTTAACCACTATGACGAGGTCTCAACTTCCAAATGATGTGGGTGACCTTGATCATTTTATCATTTATGTACGTGACGTTATCTGATTGCATCATACAAGGGCAGCTAACATATGTTAACCTACCAGTGAATTGAAAGATCAGTCATACTTGCGTATCTGTATCTCCAAAAAAATGAAAAAATGAATGATAATGAAAAGATTAGTCAAAAAGCAAATATTAAAAAACAAAGTTATATTGTTAATAATAAATCTGATATAATAATAAGTCTTGATGAACAATTTGCTCAACCTATTGAAAAAAGAAAAAAAATCTACGAATTTAGAAAATATAAACTAAGTGAAGAAATGAAAAGATTGTGGATATATGTTAGACAACCAGTTGCTTAGTTTATTTATATTGCCAAAATCGATAAAGCTGTTGAATATCCTAACAAAATATTAGAGGAAGGTCTTAGAAATAAAGATTTTAATCAGGGTCTTAAAGTATCCAAGTTTGCTTATAAAATTAATCATCTATATAAATTGGTTAACCTAATAGACTCTAAGCAATTAAAAAGTAAATATAATATATCTCTCCTGCAAAAGTATACTTTTATTAGTCATTATCCCAAGTTAATAAATGATATTATTAATTTATTATAGAGAAACAAATAGAATTATACTGATCATAAATATATTACATGATAATATAGTTCATCATCCATTAGGAGGTGGTTCCTACGTATTCAAAGAAAAATATATTGATTACATTTTAGAGCACGTTCCTAAGTCTGATGTGAGAATAAGTATAGAAGCACAACCAAATGGTTCTCCACATTTTGGCATAATAGTTACTTTTTTACTTGCTTTTTCGTTGGCCCAACAGAAGGCAAAAACGTAAAAGTTATATTAGAGTTAGTAGATATCGCAATCTCCAAAGAACATTCTTTTAATAATATAAAATATCAAAAAAGTCTTTCTTATACTAAAGAAATTGATAAACATATTGATTATTACAAAGAATTGTTAAGAAAATTAAATTCTTACTCAGGAGTAGTTTTTATGATAAGAAAACAAAGTGATTTCAATTCTCATCCAAGAATGTCAGAAGTAATTAGTACAATAATTAAAGAGAGAGAAAAGATTGGATTTTTATTATCTCCCAAGTCTAAAATCATAGCTTTAAGTGTCGCATATCCACAATACGGATTGGCTGATAAATATGAAAAAAAGAATATCTATGAGGGAAATAATAATGTTATTTCTTCTTGTCCAAAATTAGAGTTCAACACTCCTCTAAGAAATTTTGTTAAAGGAGTGGTATATTTTGAAGACAATAAGGATGTAACAGTTCCTTATTCTTGGGTCAGAGTAACTGGTAGGGATTATGCTGAAACTTACCAAGAGCAAATTCTTTATAAGGGAGCTTCTATTTTAAGGGTTAATGTTACTGAATTGCCTTTTATACTTTACAGCCTCTTAGTGATTGACTGGTCTGACTTCAAGTTGTCAAAATCACTTTATATAAGTGAAGGGGCTTATGGATATTTGAAAGAACAAGATTATGATTATCTTATTGACTATAGTAGTTTTAAAAGGCTTTTGGTGACAGCGGACTAAATAAACTATATGACGAAACGGTTTTATGGCTGACAGAACCTTATAAGTTATTTAGAAGCTATAGTATTTATTATTTCATCAATATTTCGTCAATTTATTTAAACGTACTTTACTAAAAATGGCCAATTTTTTGAAATACATTTAATACATTAAAATGTTTTTATTATATTTTTGTTATTATTTTGTAATTATATTGTATCTAGATCTATAAAAATAACTTTGATATTATTTTAATATTTTAATCTTAAAAATACCTAAAAATTTTATAAAATAATTGTACAATTGTTTTGAAAGCCATTGTATCTAGATCAATAAAAATATTTCAAAAAATTACCATTTTTAGTAAAGGATGAAAACAATATTGTTATCAAGCTCCAGTAATTAGTGGTAAGAAAGTTCTCTCTGAACTAATATGATGATGTTAGTGAAACTTTATTAATAATTCTTCATGTTGTACTATAGTATTCAAGCACATAATTCTTTATACTAATAAAATGTTTACTTTTTCAATGATCCATTATTGTTAGGGATGGGATTAGTTCGATTATGTAATTTTGAGCAGTTTTTGGAACTGATCCAAATTTTGTGGATTTTGAACTTATAAGAAAGGCCTCGGATATCTAATATAAAAGTCATAATGGACTTTTGACCAAAAACACCACTTTTTGCTGAAACTCAAAAAATCGTTTTTTGTAAATATCTCAGCATCCAGTGATTCAATTTTAATGAACATTTTTTATTTTGTAGCCCTCATTTAGCTCTATAATTAAAAAAAAGTTCATCAAAATTGGACCACTGGATGCCGAGATATTTACAAAATCGATTTTTTGAACCCTGAAAAATGGGCCAATCTGCCGAAAGTGTGACTTATAACCTATTTTGGAGATATCCAAGGTCCTTTATAAGAGCTAAAAATCCTATTGGGAATAGAAAAATACATACTTTTACAATAAATAAAAAAAAAGAAAATTTATGTCAAAAACTATTTTAAAAATGAACTGAACTGGTTCCAAAAACTGGTTTAAAATATGATCAACATTAATTGTTAACCAATCAAATTTTTTTTATTAACATATGCTCTATTTGTGTCTAATTTGACATATATAGCTCATATTTTTCTTAATAGAAACTGAAGCGGAACTGACGATGAACCGAAATGGAATTGGACGAATTGTTCCCATCCCTAATTATTATTACGAAGTACCTAAGTTTAACTTGCTTGTATGCATTAACGTCAATTTTACAGTCATCATCATAATATCTCTTTTTTATATTGTGAGATATTCAATTATAAAATTAAGGCAAAGATTATGCAGTATTTTGATTTATCTTTATTTAAAAATTAATAAGGATTATTGTAGTAAACTTTCTTTGCTCAAGTTCTAACCTCTTCCATTCAATTCATCCTTTGAAATACAAATAATTGAAAATTAAATAATAAAACAAAGTTAGGGCACTGTCAGATATTACCTAATATCACTTTAATATAAGAACTTACCCCCCTCCCCTAGGTAAGATATGTTATATATAATTCCTTATATAGTATTGTATGTAATCTAAGATCTTTATTTACCCCCCTTCCCTTAAAATATTAGGTAATATCTGACAGTACATTACACAGAAGCAAACATCAGTCACGTGACAACTATTTCGTAATTAGTATCTGGGACAGAAATTCGCATATAACTGTTCCTGTCATACTATATAATTCCTAGGATAGACGTCATGCCTAAGACAAGAATTTGATAGAAGATTACAATTATGAATATTTTACTTTTTGCAAAGGATGCAAGAAAAAAATGTTAAAATTAAATAATGGCAATTATATATATATATATATAAAGTTTTACAGGTTGAAAAGTGAAAAATCAGTCATCGATTGGTAACAGTTGCTTGGACCAGAATCTATTGGAAAATCTCATTTGAAAGCGATCTATACAAGTAGACCATTAAGTTCTTTTATTTCTAAATCTTCATCTACTATTACATCAATGATTTCATTTAAGCAAGGTATGTATAATATTGTGTTTATTAAATATATTTTAGATTAATTGACTGATTGATACCTATTTTTCACTTTTCGACCTGTGTTTTCGATGTTCTGATAAAAAATTACTTGCAATTTCTTCAATTCTAAATAGTTTCTAAAAAATTAATATTTAAATATTTATACCATATTTAAGGAAAAATGAATAATCAATGATATTTAACATATTTCTATTTGAAATTGACAAATTTTCCATTATAGCCTTAAATTGCCCTTAAAATTATAAAATTGGTATGTATTTTCACTGGCGTTTATACTGCCAGTATCATGTGTGAATCATATGATATGATGTAATACTAATGTAATATTGAGGCTTTTGTTAAACTTTCTTAACTACCTTTCCTCTTTCTCCTCTTTCCCTCTCTCCATTTAACGTCATAATTACACTTATTTGTTTTTATCCTTTCCTTCCAAATTTAACTCATAATATACAAATCATGAATAGCGAAACTGTTTTAAATAATATGATACATATGAAATAAAACTTCAGGTTGGCAAATTTTAATAGTTTTTTTGTTAAATTTGCGTTGACTCTTTGATGGTTTGAATTCATCTGAAATATAATAAAAGTTAATTGTCTGTAATTATCTGATTTATGTTTTTAATTTTTAATTAATATTAATTTACAAAATATATATATAATTGTACATTTGGAAATTAAAAATTTCTATATTTTTAACTTTTTTTTTTCAATAAAAACTCTTGTTAAACAGTTAATACTAACTTTAAAATTTTTCTTTTTTCTATTTGCTAACTTCCTTATTTAATTTAACTTCACAACACTTTTTTATTAATAAATTATATAATCATTTATAAATTACGTGACAAGTAAGCGGGATTTATTCAAAGTATTGTTTATAGGCACAATTTCCACCAGAGTGAAGTTTATCCTCAGATGACTTAGTTTACAGTTTTATATTCGTATTACTTTCGATTCTATTATATAATATCTTTGTAACCCTTTATTTACTCTGAAATAAAAATAAAAATATATATATATAATACCTCCCTATAATCACACCATTTGGGATTTTAGAGAATGACACAAAAAAATTCCTTTAACAATTCCCCTTTTAGTTCTTGCATTCCTTTTAGTTCTTATGTTCTTTTAGTTCTTGTGATTTGGGTTCATGATCATGTTCCTCCATTAAACTTATTGATTGTCTTTGCAGTTCTTCAATAGTGATTGTATTGTTTTTATCATTTCTATCTGCTTTGACCTATATTTTAAACAAATAATTTTGAATAAATATAGATAGATTGCAATATTTATAGTGTTCATTAAACTTACCCTTGTTTCACTTTCGGATGCCAATTTTTCATTCCATCCCGGAGCTGATTCAATTGGGCTTTTTCCTTTACCTTAACAAAAGAAGTAATTATTATTTTTGAATATTGTACTATTTTCATTTTATTTCGCTAACCTTTCTGTTTTTCCTGGCTCCAAACTTTCGGATCATCAGACATATGACTACAGAATAAAAATTGTTGAAAAAATCATGAATAAAAAATTACAATTCTTTAAATTCTTTATTACCTTCCAACAGGTAAACAAACACGTGAAAATTTGTAGGAAAAGTGACGATATTGCATAAAAGAAGTGCTTGCGAACATTTGACGTGATCTCAAAAGTAAACCCATTTTATTTTTCATTTTTTTTTTAATTTTCACATACAAAAATACGTTCAATTTATAACATTTCTACTCCTTGCACTTATGATGTAAAATCGATATTTCTTTCTAAATTTGACTAGAAATTAATCTAGTAACTTTAGTTATTTTATGATGTAATTAATACATAATTTGCGGCAAAAATCCAAGCACGTGATTTACTTATCAAGCTAATCGTATTTTAGTATTTTACATATTGTATTTAATAAATTATTTAAATTTTTGAGCTATTAATTTTGCAATTGTAGATAGTTGAATATTTGAGGTTCCTTCATAAATAGAACCAATCTTCGAGTCCCTGTAAAATTTTTCAACTGGAAAATCCCTTGTAAACCCCACACCGCCCATCCATTCGATAGCTTTGGATGCAGTCTTTTCGGCGACTTGAGAAGAATATAATTTTGCCATAGCTGCTTCTTTAATAAAATCTTTCCCTTCTTGTTTCAATCTAGCTGCGTTGTATGTCAATAATCTAGAAGCTTCTATCTCAGTTGCGACTGTAGTTTGTATTACAATAATTATTAAATTATATTAATTTATAAAGCAGTTTAAAAATATTGGATCTTACCTTGAGCATATTGATGTTGCATACCCTTTAAAAATAAGATATTAGCGATGAACCAGAATGTTGAAAGAAAGTCACATCGATAAACTTACCTGGAATTCACCAATTAATTTGTTAAATGCCTTCCTCTGAAACATATAAGCTAAAGCATAATCATACACCCCCTGAGATAACCCTATCATTTGAGCGGCGATACCAATACGGCCTTCGTTGAGAATTTCAATTGCGTATTTATAGCCTTAATGTTTGAAATATTAAAAATATGTCATCATATAAACATCAAATCGAAAAGGACATTTCTACTAAATAATACCTTTGCCTACTTCTCCTAATACATTTTCCTCTGGCACCTAATTTTATAAATTGGTCTCAAATAAGATTATTCCAAATAGAATATATTTTCTTATTTATCATCCTATACCTTGACATCATCAAAATTCACTGTACAAGTCGAAGAAGCTCTAATACCAAGCTAAGTAATTTTCAAAATACAGAATTAATTATATTTTATATAAAAAAAAAACCAAAAGAAGTGACAACCTTAGATTCTTTTTTGTCAATCTTAACTCCCATGTCTTTCTCCACTACAAAACATGTAATTCCTTTATATCCTTTTGAAGGGTCTAATAAAAATCGTATGAAAATCATTAACTATTATAAATAAACGTTTACCTAAATTATAAATAAGCATTTCTTATAATAAGATGATTACCTAAATTAGCGAATACTAAAAAAATTTCGGCTTCTCCTGAATTAGTGATCCACATTTTTGAGCCATTGAGAATGTAATATCCATCTTTTTTCTCAGCGCGAGTTTTTAACGCGAATGCATCACTTCCAGCTCCAGATTCGGATAAACAAAAGCAGCCAACCTAACAGAAAAAATACACTTTAATATTTTAACATATAAATACTTAAGAAGTTGTTCTTACCTTTTCAGTTGCAAGTTGAGGTAAATATTTGGTTTTCACAAAATCATTACCATACTTGCGAAATAATGTATTAACAAGTGTATTCTAAAAATCAACATAAATTAGATGATATGAATATAATTAATTTCTAAATAAATAAAACTTACCTGAACATCACAAATAACACTAATAGATGGGTCTACTTTTGCAAGTTCTTTTTACAGATATACACGTATAATTAGAATAGATCAATCAAATGTTAAACTTTCGAAACTTAAAATCTATATAATGAATAAAATTTTACCTTCGACAGCCAATATAGCAGCCAGAAATGAGCTCCCAGTACCACCATATTCGGCTTCAGTTTCTATTCCCATAAGCTAAAAAAATCCCTTCATATTAGTAAAATTTAAAAATTAGAATTATTATAATTATTAACTATCAAAATAACATATGATTATAAACGAACCCCTTGTTCAAAAAGGCCTTTAAGAATTTCTGAGTCAAGGTATTCATTTTCGTCCATTTTAGGCACAAGAGGTTTTATTTTATGTTCTGCAAAACTTGCGACTAATCAAAATCGATTTTACAATGTAGTGAATTTTAATGGATTATAAAAAAAATAGATTAAAAATAAAAAATAAAAAAAATGATTTACCTGAATCGCGAATACTTTCTTCTTCTTCAGATAAAGTATTAAGTGACGATAATGTAGAAGCATAACGAAAGGGTGCGACTAGACTAAAGGACCTTTCATTAAATTAGTTTATAACAAAAAACGAACTTTATATAAAAGCTTATCTCTAATACGTACTTTGATCTCGCAAACCTACTACCAATAGAAGTAAAAGATGAAAAACTTTGCCTGAAAGCTGAAGAAAATTTATTTCTTGCAATTGACATTTCGAAAATAAGAAAACAAGAAATAATCAACTGTTTTTTTACAACTACCTAGCGCTACCCCAAAAAAAAGCACTGGTGGCCGGAATTATGCGGAATTATGCATAGTCACGTGAACATAGCGGTGACAGATAAGGTGTGACGAATAAGTTTTTATCAACTCGAAAAAAACAATAAATATAAACAATGAAAACACTGAGGGGTGTGACGGATGTGATGATTTTTACATGGTCACGCGACCAGTGCTTTTTTGGGGTAACGCTAGGCTAGATTTTTTTTACGGGAAATTGATTAAATTGATTGGTGATGATAAACAAAGATCTCCATAGGGTGTGATATTTTGTTAGAAAAAATTTTTTTTTTTCACTCTCAGAATAGCAAAAAAGATTATTAATTATGGTGAGCCATCCATTCAACAAAAATAAAAATTATATTATTAGCTCCTAAGCAAGAAATCTTCTTTGTTTGGATTCAATTAGAAGGAACTCATCTATTAATTAAAATAAATTGGAATCGTGAGTTATAGAAAAAACTATGATAACCTAATGCATTATTATTTATTTCCAATAGCCTCCTGTTAAAGCTTACGAACTTCGCAATAAAAATAAGGCCGAGGTTAATAAACAGCTCGAAGACCTTAAGCAAGAACTCGCCGGTTTAAAAGTTCAAAAAATTGCAGGCGGTGCAGCCTCAAAATTAACTAAATTGTAGGTAGAAAAAAAAATACACCGATTGCTACACACAACCAAATTAATTTATTGATAATTTACATAGGCGCGAAGTTCGAAAGTCTATCGCACGCGTTAACACTGTAATCTCACAAAATCAACGAGATGTTCTTCGCAAAGCTATTAAACAAAGACAAAAAGATCAACCTCCAAACTTAGTTAATTACAAAAAATATAAACCTCTAGATCTTCGACCGAAAAAAACTCGTGCTATCCGTCGTCGTCTAACAAAAGTAAGAGATTATGATGATTAAATAATTGAATCTTTACTAATATCTTAATTAATATTGTTCTTCTTTATATAGTATGAGGTTAATAAGAGGACTAAGCGGTAAAAACTTTTTTTAGTTATTTTATTATTACATGAATATATCAATCAACCATATTCTTAACGTTTTATTATTGTTGTTGTTACAGTGCTCATGAAAAAGCTATTCATTTTCCTCAACGTAAATATGCTGTAAAAGCATAAAATTGGTAATGATTAATGTATTTATTTTATTTGGATAATTACTCATTCGGATAATTGTAATGCAAATAAATCTCAAGCTAAGAAAATAGATGAAAAATATTCTTTCCGAATTTTCTGAATACACTTTTTTATTTTTGAAAATGATTGATTTTATTAAACAGCAAAGTCGTCTTCTTCCTTTAACCTTCGCAAATATTTGTTTACGATGTATAAAACTCTTAATGCAAATAAAATAATTGTGTTATTAAATAAATTATTAATAAAAATTTCTTTAATTTATAATACTTACTCGTCTATATTCTTGTTACCTGGTCGAAGATAGAGTTTTTTACCGTCACCTATTATTATTTGTTCGGTTGTTACTAACAAAATTTTTACTATACGAAAATATATTACGTACGATAAATTATATTGATAACTGGATCCTCATTTGGATCAGAAAGGACTGTTGTATTAATAATGGCATTCGGATTCGCAAGCCGAGCTTTGTCTGTCATAATTCTTGCGAGAAAAAGTCTAACAGATAATGAAAATAGTTAAAAATTAATAAGTAAAAAATTCAATATATTATACTAAGTGTATTTCATCCACCTCGAAGACTTGGCAGAAGGTGAAAAAGGAGCAAATTTTATGTCGACTTTATTTATATACTTCAGCATTTCGTATAATATCAAATGAATAAAAAAAATTATTGTTGATATATCGATATCGATACATCATAATTCAGTGCACCATGATGATCAAATAAACGTTACGTGTTTCGCGTTCAAACGTGTACGGGGTAAAGTTAAATTAACAAGCTTATGTCGTGTAACTTTGAGTTTAATAATTAAAAAACACTTTTTTTGAACAAAATATTTTTCAATTTCACATTTCACGATGAATATATCTATAGATTTTTTCCTTCGTATTCTAGCTCTCTCATTTTTTCACCCTTCCTTTGTTCTTATATTCCTTCCGTACTTTTATTCTATAGGCTACGGCTTAACTACCCCTGAATTTTTTTGGGCTAGCATATATACAAGTATCGTATGCTTTTTTTGGTTGTTGGGTTATTTAAGTTTAAAGAGTAGAAACGGTTGGAAGACAATTAAAACAAATTGGGATGACGAAGTGGTAGTTGTCACTGGAGGTTCAGGTGGTGTCGGCGGCCTTCTGACCGAGACATTGGCGATCAGGAACGTGACAGTGATCATACTGGATGTTAACCCTCCTGAAATTGAACATGGTATGTAATTGGCTAAAAACGTAATTGTTTATCGTATTTAACCTTTCTTTGTGTTCATTTAGTCAACGTAGAATATTTTCAATGCGATGTTTCAAATTATGAAGAGGTTCAACGCGTTGGTAAAGATATAATAGAACAAGTAAACGTTTTTAGTTAATTTATATATACATATTACGTATATGTACCTTATTTTTAACACTTTTTTATTTCACCTTAAGTTTGGTAGTCCAACAATACTTGTAAACAATGCAGCTATTGTTAGAGGAAAAACTATTCTTGATGAGTCGATACGTGACATAACAGAGTAAATTTAAAATATTTGGCATTATAATTAATATTCATAAATTATTATTATTGAATCGATTCGTTTTATTTGCAGTACTATAAATACAAATTTGTTATCTTCCTTCTGGACCACAAAAGTATTTTTGCCAGATATGATTAAGAATAATCATGGTCATATTGTAAATATATTTCATTATTTATTTTAAGTTCTAAACATTTTTACTAAAATTATTTCAAATTAAGGTAACAGTAGCGTCCTCACTTGGATATACCGGATTGCCTCAACTAGGTAACATATTTCAATTTATTAATTTATTTCAAATTATATATACAATTATATATTGAAATTTTATTTAATTTCAAAGCTGATTACTGTGCTAGTAAAGCTGCTTTGATTAGTTTCCACGAATCACTTCGATATGAATTGGATACTCGGTAATCTTAATATAATTTTATATTTCTTTAATTTTTTCATCAAAAGATAAATTTTTTTTCTTGCATTAGCTACGACGCCAAACAAGTTCGCACAACTCTTGTATGTCCTGGTGAAATTGAAACTGGATTATTTGATGGTATCAAAGTTTCATTTCCATTTATTACTCCCCGTTTAGCACCATTAGATGTGGTAAAACTAATTGTCACTGCACTGGACAAGAATGAAGGTCATATTATTACTACGCCATATTATGTTTATTTAATGTCTTTATTGAGATTTCTTCCATCATTTATACAAGATCTTGTTCACAAGGTATTTATATATCTTTATTTGTTACAATTATTAAATGATAGAATAATTAATGCTAAAATTTCTGCTTTTAATTTATGAAGTTTCTCGGAGCTAATGATGCAATGAAAACATGGAGGGGTAAAAAAAGTATTAAAAAAGACCAATAAATTTATATCTTGTTGATAGTGATGAATTTACATTATAAATACTTTTCTAAGCATAAAATTTATCAAAAAATAAATTAATAAAAATGAATTTTTATTCATATTATATATCCACCACTCTCTTATTGAATGAAATAACTCTCCCTCTGCCAGTTTGAGCATTAATTTCTTCCTCAACCATCCTGTTAATCGCATTTATATAGGCTTTTGCACTTGCCGTAACTACATCTAAATCTGTACCATTTCCAAGATACACAGCATTAGATGACTTTTTCGAATCTTTAGCTTCTCCATTTTCCGAATCATCAACATCTCCAGTAATCCTAAGACTAACTTTACCCAAAGCATCCATTCCTTCTGAAACAGCGCGAACTTCATAATTTAACAACCGTATTTTTCGTTGTACTAAACGTTGTATAGCTCCAAATACCGCCATGATAGGACCACTACGTCCAATAGCAGCATCGACAAGTTCTTTATTATGTGAATTATCCTTAAGTTTAACGGTTGCTGTTGACATGTCATGAGTACCAGAGACAACCTGAATTGATTGTAATTCAAATCGTTGTGAATCACCAGAAGAGACTCTATCTGATAATAAGGCCAAAATATCATGATCTGTAATACGTTTCTTATTATCAGCCAAAGCTTTAAATCTTCCAAAAGCTACGTTAACATCATCCTCACTCATATCGCCATATCCCAATTCTTCGAGACGCGTGCGGAACGCATTTCGGCCTGAAAGTTTGCCCAATACTAAATTTACATTGAAGATACCAACATCCTCTGGACGAATAATTTCATAAGTTAGTTTGTTCTTAAGTACGCCATCTTGGTGAATACCCGATTCATGAAGGAAAGCATTGGCACCTACAATAGCTTTGTTAGGCTGTATTACCATTCCAGAAAGGGATGAAACTATATTGGAAGTACGATATATTTGTTGTGTATTGATTGTATGATATACCGGATAATAGTCAGGATGTGTATGAATGTTCATTATAACTTCTTCGAATGGAGTATTACCTACGAAATAAAAGAATATGTTAAGAATTCTTCATTTTAAAATATATATATATATATATAAAATAATATAGCGATAATAACGATAATAAATAAAGTACATACCGGCACGTTCGCCAATGCCATTGATGGAGACTTCTATTTGTCTAGCACCGTTTAAAATACCAGATAAAGTATTGGCAGTAGCTAATCCCAAATCATCATGACAGTGAGTTGACCAAATGACCTAGATTAAAATAAAATAAAAATGAATAACCAATAAAATACATTCCAAATTAATAAATTGGAATAAGAAAAAAAACCTTATCCGATCCACGTGTATTTTTAATTAAATATTTGATTAATCGTCCATATTCCTCTGGATTGCTATAACCAACTGTATCTGGTATATTAACCGTTGTTACACCTGCCTCAATAACTTCTTCCAAGACCCGACAAAGGAAATCCTTATCGCTTCTTCCAGAATCTTCACTACTAAATTCCACATCATCACAGAGAGTCTTAGCATATGCAACCGCAGCTGCGGCACGCTTTCTACATTCATCACGATCGAATTTTAGTTTATATTTAAGATGTATGTCTGATGTAGCAAGAAATGTGTGAATTCGATGCAAAGGCGCGTGTGATACAGCTTCATAACAACGTTTGATGTCTTTTTCAGCAGCACGAGATAGTCCAGCTATAATCTAAATTGCGTATATTATCTAGTGAATTTAAAATATAGCATAAATTATATTCTGCTCGTGTTATTTAAAATATACTGACCACAGGCTTGCCTGTTTTTTCTCTACCAGTCATTAATGGACCAACTTCCTTCGCGATACGAGCTACTGCTTCAAAATCTCCTTGTGAAGCAATAGGAAAACCAGCTTCAATAACATCAATTCCAAGGGCGGAAAGGTGCCGAGCAATTTCAAGTTTTTCTTCAGTCTTGAGGGTAACACCAGGTGACTAAAGAAATAATTTTACCAAATAAACAAGAATAAACTTACTATATTGTTTAATATTATTAACAATATTATTGAGTTTATCAAACATTTAGTATTTTCCAAATTACCTGTTCCCCATCACGTAAAGTCGTATCAAAAACTATTAATTTGTCCTTTGATACTTCATGGGAAATGTAACGATATTGTTTTAAAGTTGGGGCTATTGTTGAACGATTTATCGTTGCTAGTTTTTTAAAAGGTAACTGTTTTGTCACTGAGGAACGATAAAAATTAAAACTTTTCGCAAACATGGTTTATATCCTTATTTCCGATTGAAATCTGAGTTTATATATGTGATTCTGACTGAAATGAGTCATAAAATGCAATTGATAATCTTTTATCTCGAAATTTATATCAATCTTACAATGGATAAGAGTATTTAACAAATTCTCCAAAATAGGAAAAATGTCTCGGTCCCGATTATAAAACCGATTGCATCTTGCATTGATCTACAAATTTAAATAATGATTGACGCTATAACGCATTGTCTGCACAAATGGACTTTCATAGCAGAAAATAATCTAAAAATTTTTATTCTTATACAATTTATTACACAATATATAAAAAATTATTAAAAGAAAATAAACATAAAACCGTAAAAAACATTAAAAAAATTATTCATACACTATTTTTTTTTTTGGTGGAAAAGTTTGAGATCAAATCATCTTTTTTCAATATCTATTGTGTCCACATTCGTGTCATTTTGATTTTTAGACGTCGATGATGAATTTATTCCCTCATTGTTATCATTACGAAGTTGTCTTCCCACATCTAGACTCTCGTTTTGCACTGTGTTCTCTCTGGTCATGTGTACTCCTACTGAAGCAGAAATTAAACTTGGCAACATCGCAGCTGCAGCGATTGCCTTCGACCGTGTTTCAGATTTTTCTTGTTTATCACCAAAATGAGCTCTGAACCTGCCACCACGAAGTGTCTTAAAAAAGTGTAATTGATTTTGTACTTGCGTAATTGTATCACTCCATTCTTTTTCAAGATCAATATTGACTGCAGGCGGAGGTGTTGTAGTGTGAGCACCAGTAGGAATTAAGCGAATTATAACTCCGACAGGGATTGATAGAAATCCCAAAACTATACATATTACCCACTCTATTATACTAATTCGTGTTACTTGGAAAGCAGCACCACCAAACTGAACTATTAAAATTTGTCCACAAACCATTATCAAGAATATAGCCATTAAAAATTTATTTCTCGTGACACCTTTAAGAATATTTATTTTACCATATAACCGTCGACAACTATGAAATACAAATTTTTATGAATATATTAATATTTTTTTCATTCTATTAGCCGAGTAATAATAAAAAAAAACTCACTTGATTTCGTTAAAAATCTGCAAGAATACAAACGTATTAAAAATAACAGTTTGCAACTCTATACTTTCCTTATCCAATCCCAATATGGAACTACCAGCATAAAATAAGACTAAAGTAATTACTAATTGAAATATACTTTGGCCGATAATCATTTTCCACATATCTAGAGAGATTAAAGGTGCATTTTTGGATTCAGGTTTACGATCTAATAGTTCGATAGTAGGGGGATCTGTTGCAAGAGCAAGAGCAGCGAGCGTATCCATGATAAGATTGACCCATAATAATTGTACAGCAGTAAGAACGGATTTTTGTTCATTGCTTGAAACAGCAGAAATGAATGTAAGCAATACAGCAGTAACATTGACCGTCAACTGAAATTGTAAAAATTTCTTCACTGCGTCATTTACATTTCTTCCCCACATAATAGCTTTGACAATACTTGAAAAATTATCATCCATTAAAATAATAGATGAAGCTTCCTTGGCAACTTCTGTACCAGCTATGCCCATTGAAAAGCCAACATCGGAAAGCTTTAAAGCAGGTCCGTCGTTTGTACCATCGCCAGTGACAGCAACAACATCGTTTAATCTTCTCAAATGACCAACCAATATTCTTTTGTCGTCAGGACTAGATCTAGCGAGAACTTGAAGTTTTGGTAATATCCTATTCATTTGTTCTAGAGAAAGATTACGAAATTCCGGACCTTCCATAACCTCCCCACCTGTAAAAATTCCACATTGTGTAGCAATTGATTTGGCAGTTAAAATATTATCACCGGTGACCATACGAACTTTAACACCAGCTTTTACACAGTTTGCAACAGCTTCACGCACTCCTTCTCTTAATGGATCTTCGATGCCCACGATACTCAGTAAAGTTAATTTATCAAATAAGTCTCCGTAATTAATTTCATCGGAACTTTTTGTTATCTCTTCAAATTGAAATTTTTCAAAATCACGATAAGCAATTCCTATTGTTCTTAGAGTTTGAGTGGCATAATCCTCAATTACTTTTTGGACTTTATCGGAATTATCTTCAGTTAAATCAATTACGCTGCTGGTGGTCGTATTATCGTCAGATTTTACTATATTTATTATTTTATTTGATTTTTTCAATATAACTTCGCTAGCACCTTTTACAAAAAATCTCCATTTGGAATCGTCAATTTTTATGACAACTCCCATTGATTTTCTTTCAGAATTGAATGGGAATAATTGTACGATTTGAGCACTTTCTCTTAATGATTTAATATCAATACCGGGGTTTAATTCCAATAGAAATCCTAATAATGCGGTCTCAGTTTTAGAACCGACAAAGGTTTTTTTTCCATTTTCAATTTCACCTTCAAAAGCCGTAGAGTTGATGGCTATCGATTCATTCAATAACTGTGAAATATCTTGAGGAACCTCGGAATTTATTTCTTTCAATGAAACAGGTTTTGTCGAAACAACGTTTGCAGAAAGAGAATGAGTTTCAGCGTCTTTAACAAATGGAACAGATAAACCAATAATCCCAGTGACAACTGTCATTTTATTTTGTGTTAATGTTCCGGTTTTATCTGAACAAATCGTTGTTGCATTACCCATAGTTTCACAAGCTGAGAGAACACGTACAAGATTATTATCCTTTAGCATCCGTGTTGTAGCATATGCAAGCGCTTCGATTTAGAAATAATATATTATATTAGCATTATTTATAAGACTTTTTTAAAAAAAAATAATAATAAATTTACCTAACGTTACTGCTAATGGCAAACCTTCCGGTACAGCAACAACTACGATAGTAACAGTTGAAATAATAATTTTAATCAAATTATCAAGTATATGGGTGACCGATGGTACTCCATTACGGAAACTCACAAAATATTTTATGAGAAGAACTATAAACATCAGAAGAGCAGCAGCTCCGCCTAGCTTTGCAATTTTTTCAGCAAGGTCATTTAATTTTTCTTGAAGAGGTGTATCTTCAGCCTCAGACCTTAACGCTTTAAGAATTAAAAAATTAATCACATTATGAAAAATATATATATAAAGAATTGTACACTTATATACTTACACATCATAATTTTACCAAAAAAAGAATTAACACCGACACCAGTAACAATGTAAGTACCAACTCCTTCCAATACTTTACTACCACTAATTATAAATGGATCAACTTTAGGACTTTCGCTTTCTTTTTCAAGTTCTTTTAAACAATCTTCATATTTCATTTTTCTTACAGCATCACTTTCACCTGAAGCTGCGGATTCATCACAGCGTAAATTATGACCAGCAATTAAGACACCATCAACCGAGATGACGTCACCAGGTTCTAAATTGAGCACATCTCCAACAAGGACATCGTGTACTGATAAAAGGGCTTCTTTACCATTTCTAGTAACTTTTACATTACGATCCTCTTTTTTAGCATTTAATTTTTGAAACTGCCTTTCCTTTTGCCAATCATTCAAACTACCAACTAAAACAACAATTAAAATTGCGATAAGAATAGCAACACCCTCTACCCATCGAATTTTTGGTTGACCTTCAGTAGCAGGATCTTTAACTCCAAAATCTTCATAAAGGCCAAGACCTAATGATACAACTGCAGCTATTATTAAAAGTATCAAAACTTTTTCTTGCATGGCAATCCACATTAACTCAAGAATAGACTTTGTTTTCTTTACTGGTAATATATTTTTACCGAAAACATTTTTTCTTTGGTAAAATAAAGTATCATCTGCTGTAAGAGTTGTTTCATATTGAACATTATCTTGTTCATCAACTATATTATCATTACTTTCACCCGTTATCTCCCTTAAAGTTATTGGTTTTAATGAGGCAGTCTCGTCCTTTAAACCAGTTCGTTGATCGGTATGAAGACCTTTTACCAATCCATCTAATCCTCCATATGATTTTAATAATTTGAGACTTTGTTTTTTTTGTGTAGGCTCAGCAAGGGGAGAAAGCGTTTTAGGAGTGAATGCAAAGGGATTGGATGAACTTGAATGAGTTTCTGTTGGTTCACGAGTTGAGTCAACCGCTATCTCTGTGCTCATTCTTTTTACAGTATTTTTAGGTTCTTTTAAAGAAGTTAAAGTTTTTGGACTAATGGGAGATTCAGGATTTATCTCTATCGCAGTGGTATCGGTTATATCTGTTATTATGGAAGGCGAAAAAGAATTTACAGGGACGGTTAAAGTATCGTCTTGATGTACTGAGCCCATATTTAGTAAAATAAATACTAAAAAAACAAAGGTCTTTTTATATTAAAATTTAAAACCAACCGGAATTTTCTATAAAGGATAAAGTTGCTTTTGTATAATTTTTTTTAAAAAAAATTTCTTATTTTATTAAGGACTAAAGTTTTGTCCTTAAAAAAAAAAAATCCAATGGACAACTTTCGTCCTTAGAAAATTAAATGGAAAAAGACATTATGTGCGCGCAAATAATACAAATTTAATTGCCCGCATATTTTATACTATTTAATTTAATTTCTGTGTGCCTTATATAAATTGTCATTTAGTGCACATATCGCAAATCACACCATATTTAGATAAGATTTTATCGAATATGCAGAATCGGTTGTATCACTCGCTAATTGCTCGGTAAAAATTTCAAATAATTTCGTATAAGCGAACATATGTTTTTTTTACAAATTAATCGAAATTTTTATAATTAGTTCAAACCAAAGATTTATGAAAAAAATTTGTTTTTAAAATAAATTTGAGATCTCTGAAAGTATTAATTATTACTTGACGCGAATTTAATAAATAAACACGAATTTATCACGAACTATCTATTTAATTTAAATTAATAGATGGTCATGTATTGTGTGGCTGATTTAAGAGTCGATATACAGATATACAGGATAATCAATTTCTTAAGAAGGATGGCTCTTTTTAGGAGAAGCGTGATTGACATCATGTTAAATAAAATATGGTATTACAAAAAAAAACGTGTGTTCCATCGAATGTTAACATTAAGAATTCTAGAAATTGTAAATAGAAAAATCTGTAACTAACTTTAATAGTATATATTATAAGAAGTGAAAAACTTCTATTAAGAAAAATTATTACGTATATACGTATCAGTCCGTATAATTTATAATAAAAATGATTCATGTAGACCTATTGTTGTAACAAAACTATGAAACCTAAAAAGGTTTATCCGAAGAAAAAACTAAGACATCGCAATTACGCGCCTAGCTAGATCTTATCAGTGTCGGAGATCCTAATTTGAAATTCTTTCGGAGACGGAGAATCAAAAATTTGGTTCGAAATTGAAATTCGAATTTTGCTTCTATCAATTGTTTATTATTTCTCTTTAGAACAAAATTAATAATTGACTATATTAGTTCTGCCCAAAGTTAAGTTAAATTTCACAAAATTGATGTGTAACTTTTCACTGAAAGTTACTTTCGATCTCGCATATTATGTTATATGAGGAACAAAAAAAGTTTTCTTATCTAATTTTAGTTATTTAATTATATAATTATGTAAAGGATATAAAAAATCCGGCATTTATATCCGGATTGGGTCTAGTTTCTGGAATATCAAAAATCATCCATGCGAAAAATTTCATAATGTTGATCATCCTTACTATGTTCGGTCAACTTAAAAATATTTTATCGGGCGCCAATACACTTGGTTGCTTGCAAATTAGCCATTTGGCCGAAACATTCTTTGCCACAACCAAATCTCATGAAGAAACTAAAAGCAATACAATTTGCTATTATTTTCTATTAAAAATTGGTGAACTCGATTTCTATTAGTACACGACACGAGTTTCCAAAAAGGAAAAGGGGCGTCCAAAGCGGGTTCGATCACGTGACTTTTAAAATCACCCATATGTCACACCTCTGTCTTTCAATTTTTACTATATATTTGTCATATGCGTTAATAAAATGTACATAACAAAATGTGCATAAAATCTATTTTTCTACTTATCTGGCCTTATAAATTATTTACAATCTTTCAGTTTCTAGTTCTCCTATTTTGATTTTCTTTTATAATTACAAAAAAATAATATTTTATAGGTTTTAATTCTATTTAATATTTACATATATAAGTTAATTATTATAAAAATTCTCAATTCCTATTGGTTTAAAATAAGATAATATATTAAGTTTAATATTTTTGAATTATTCTAATATATTTTCTGAATGTAACTTATATTGTAACTTACAGCCAAAATTTTTAAAATAATGTAATTTTACAACCCTACATATTAGACTAATATTATAATATTATTTTTAATTACAAATATATATTATATTACAATTAGACTTCTTTATAATCACTCTCTATATAAGAACACTTATAAATATAATGATATGATATAAATTGCAATTATAATACGATATATTACAATATACCAAATTTTCCAATATTATACCAGGTTTTTTTATAATAATAATGAATTTTTTTATAATAAAGGTCAGATTGATCCAGATACCAAATTTGTTATAATGCAAATCAACTGTATAGAATAAGGAAATATTATATGGATTAATAATTAGATTGTATAGTATATAATAATAAAATGTCTTGGATAAAAATTACATATACTAAAATATAATTTAAAATAGTTCCTTTCTATATATTTTCTTTTATAAATTTTACCTATATTCTTATTGTCATAAGTAGTAACCATTTAAAACTTGTTTAAATTATAAAATAATGTGTTGTTAAATAATATTTAATTATTGAACAATTACTAAAATAGGACTCCGGACATCACATATATAACTCATAACTGATCTGCATGAATTTAAGTACTTTTTGCTCCTGCTAAAATAGACCTAATTTGCTAAAAATCAAATTATCACATTTCAAATCTATACTAATTTGCTAAAACTCAAAATATGAGTTAATAATCTTTTTTTTTATTATCAATAAAAAAATAAATGATTAATATAAATTAAACTGCCAATTTTTATAATTAAAATATGTAGATTATAGATAAAATAATAATTAATAAAAATAATAAATTAAATAAATAATTATTAAAAAATAAAATGTTGCGAAACTAAACGGA